CTCTCTCTCTCTCTCTCTTTCTCTCTCTCGCTCTCTCTCTCTCGCTCTCTCTCTCTCGCTCTCTCTCTCTATCTCTTCCTCACTCTCTCTATCTCTTCCTCACTCTCTCTCTCTATATCTCTCCAGTACATCCTACAAGCAACCACAAGCAACAACATAAACACCAACAACAACAACAACATAAGCACCACCACAAACAACAACATAAACACCACCACCAATTTAACAACAACAACATAAACATAAACATCACCACAAGCAACAACATAAACACCACCACTAACAACAGCAACAACATAAACACCACAACTAACAACAGCAACAACATAAACACCAACAACAACAACAACATAAACACCAACAACAACAACAGCATAATTACCACCACTAACAACAACATAAACATCGCTTCTGAATAACGTCAGTGGTCGTAAGTCTTTTATTACTCAGCGTGCCTAGTGTCCAACGGGCAGACGACTCTAATCAATACTAATACTAATATTTTGTTCTCACAGACCAGTGATTGGGGTTATTTTTTGCGTCTGTGCAACGTCTGTAAGACTGGAAATACGCACACCATTGCCTTTAATTCATATGCTATACATTAATAATATGTTTTACGCCCACATCAACATTACACATAATTACATGTAATTTCATGTTAATTATTGTTAATGAGATCCCTAAATAAAGCAGCCAGCACGATTGTTCATTCTGAAGATACGTCTTTTTTCCCCCTTTTGTCGCATTTCGAAGAGAAAACGCCTTTAAAAGACGATTGTAGCTGCGTTTAGTAAAAAAAAAATCGAAATTCATGAAGAAAAAACAACAACAAACAAAAAGAAAAGTGAAATTATTTAATAATAATTACTGATTTACCAAATTTATCTTCGAATGAAAAAAACTACGCTTTACCGGAACTGAATCTTCGAGGAAAAGGAAGTTGGCTAACAATTATTTGTTTGTTCTTCTCATCTCTCTCTGTAGCCAAGTGAGAGGCTGTGGGGCCAAGAGAAATCTGATTCTGAGTGGATATTTTAACTCCAGATTCTTGACTCTATTTTTTGTTCGTCGTTTATTATGTATTATACTAATTATGCGACTGTGTTATGTTGATGATCGTAAGTTATAGGATTGCAAAACAAAAATAAACAAAGAGCAACGAATCAACAAGTAAGTGTCAAACTCCCAAGTGTAAACTAAAGTTTGTTTCCTTCCTAAACCACCGAGTTAGAAGCTAGATCTGGATGTAGAATCTAATCTCTAGGCTAGATCTAGTGTTTCGATCTAGATCTAGCCCTAGTTTTCCTTCTCATTCATCCAAGTCGTCAGTTTACATACATGGATCAGGCCTAATCTCCTTAGCCTTAAAAGTTGAGGTGAAATTGATTGAACTAGACTACAAACTTGGTTTGACTAAACTTCCTGAAGTTGAAGTAGGGCCTTTACCCGTCCCTGGGATGCTTGGCCTAGATTTGAGGTCAAGATATCTTGATCATAATCTAGATCTAGATCTAGAAAATCTAGATCCAGAGTCGCTAAATTTTGTTTCTCATCAAAATTGGGCTAAGTAGAACTGTCTGTTGGAGTCACTTTAAACCTCTTCCTGATCATTGTCATGATTTGATGATTGCAAGAGCTCTGCTGCCCAGGGCCAGGGTATCGCTGCCCTGAGTTGATGTTATAGGCCTACATCTACTCTGCTAGATCTGGACATACTGCCATCTAGTCATTCCCACCCTGAAGCTGAAGTAGGCTACACTGTGACTGGGGAGCCTTTCTTTAAGTCTTTTGTTTTCATAATTATGCGGTTTAGACAGCCTGTGTTATGTTCATCATGCGGTCAAGACAGCCTGTATGTTCATTATTCGGTCTAGACAGCCTGTGTATATGTTCATTATTCGGTCTAGACAGCCTGTGATATATCATGTTCGTCAGGCCCATCAGAGTTCACAAGGCTAGTCTTATCTAGGTCAAGACAAGATCTCTGACTTCCTGTTCTCAAAGACTTGATGCAATCTCTCGCTTTTATTTGAGAAAAGAATTTTGACCAAGTAGTTGTAAGTAGGATGATTCTGAGATTCTAGTTTCCTACATCATACCACCATCACTTGATGCCATTATCTTTGATAACTGACCACCTGTTAACTTAGCAGCCTACATGAATCACATTATATTTTTGGGAAACCAGCCATTTCGTCGCACCACAATTATTTACACAGACAAAATGACTTTGTTTATTATAAATCTCTCCAAAATTGTTTATATGCTAGTAGAGTTTTAGGATCAGCGCCAGCAGTTTTTATTTTAAATCACCAATTCAAGCATGATTAGAGGCCGTCGTACCTTCTTAAAGTAATTTAATATGGGGTGCCCATTACGACTGGATTGGGCCGATCGCCCAACTCGGTCGCCTGAAACTGAAAACAAACACGTAATTGTCGTACCGCTTTTTTTTTTTTTTTACTGTCTTTGGCTTTAATTTTCTTATGTCTCGATTTTGACACTTTATTGCAAATGGGATTGTTCATTTGTATGGAGTGTTTCTATGACTTAAATATACATGTGAATAATTATAATAAGTTGTGTAAAAACATTACCTTGTCTTCAGTGTACGTGAGTGTTACTAGTTACTTTGTAGTTTGTTTAGTTGTAAAAGTCTGAGTGTCATTTTGTCTGGTAAGAGGGTTGTGGTTATTTAAAGGCACACATCACGTAAGTCATGGGAGTTCATAATGTAATCTTTAAGTCAAGGGGAGAGGAGCAGCTGAGTAATTATGTATTCTCTCAGAATCACAATACTCGGTTAATAATTCATGTTGAGGTGCATTATTTTTGTTATCAGTTGAAAGGCATGCTGAACGCAAGCAGAGAGACTGTGGACTGGTAACTGTGACGACAGATTGAACAAAACAGAGCTGCACAATGGAGATGTCATCGTCGGGCAAGCACGTTCCCCCCGTGCATGTACACGCCAAGCTTCAGAGCACCCAGATGCACTACACACCCCACAACATGGCCTCCGTGGCCGCGGATGCAGCGGCGAGCGTTCACGCCAGCTCACAAGGGGGACAGATGAACGATGCCAAGGCCAAGACTGTTCTGAAAGAGGCCGTGGACGCTGTGGTCAATAGCTTTGCCAAACACACGCATGGTCACGGTCGAGGTAAGAGAAGCTAGATGTATTGTCGGTCAGCTCTCCAGATATCATGTCTCTCTCTCTGTCTTGACCTTTTTTACTCCCAGTGAAGCAAAGGCCATCAACAACATTTCTCCCGCGAAGCCTGTCCGGTGCATCCTTCTCTAGCCTGTCCCCGTGGTTTTATGCACCCCGCATAATTTAGCAAAATTTGATCATTTTTTGCATAATTTCTGATTATTTTCCTTTATCATTCTTTTTTAAAATTAACAGAACTGCATCATTTCACAATTTTGGGCTCAGTACGCATAATTTCTGAATTTTTCTTGCCTAAAACAACGGGGACAGTCTAGTTGTTTCCATGAGGTCCTCGCCTTTTCCATTTCCACTTGTACCGCTCGCCTCCATGTCATCTTTGGTCTTCCTTTCTTACGTTTTCCTTGTGGATTCCACGTCAAAGCCTGTCTGATGATGCTTGTCGGGGATCTCCTCAGGGTGTGCCCAAATCATTTTTCCTTTTCTTCACCCGTATTTCCAGATGTCATGTACTGAGCCTAAGATGATGAACCTTTTTTTTTTATTGGGGTTTCTTTATCAGTGGTATCAGTTACATGAGCTTTAGAAATATTTTGTTGAAATTTAAATTTTTAATGTTGAAAAAATGCAAGAAATATTGATTAAAGTAAGAACAGTTGTTAAAAGAATGAAAAAGGTTTTTTTCTCCTGAAAATTTTTCGGTCTGGTCATAGTAGGCTACATTTGACGACTTTGTATTTGAGGTGAGGGACATCATAGAATGAAAGAAAAAGGTATGAAGTTAATGCTGTAGGTAGGAGACGTCATAGAAATATGAACTTTGTATAGAGATATTTGTAAGAAAATTAGCCTACAGATTATTTCAGGTTGGATAAATCAAAGAGATATCATGAATAAGGTAGGCCTACTCGAGGTCAAGGAAGTTATGATATAAATAGATGTTGTTTCCGAGGTAAGGCAAATCAGATGGATATTTGGGGAGCGTCTTTGTGGTTCCTACTAGATCTAGTCTTCTTTTCTGTCATTTCCTGTTATGGTGTCTGTTGTTGTGCACTCTGTGACCTTTGATGTTTATATCTGTGATCTGTGACATCCCTTTCCTGAGGGTGGTTGGAAGGCACCACTTGTAGGTCAGGTCCTACTTTTTTGCATTTTCTCTGTTGTTTCTTTCTATCTGTCTTTGTTCTTTTCTGCACTATATAATAATATGATTGTTATTGTGTCGATGTGTTTCTTTGTTCTCAAACTCAAATCCCCTCTCCCTGTGATCCCCAGTGAATGTCGTGGAGGCGCTGCAGGAGTTCTGGCAGATGAAGCTGGAGCGAGGGGCGGACTTGACCAACGGAGCCCTGGTGGTGTACGAGTCTCAGCCGGCCACCACGGCACCCTACGTCTGCTTCGTCAGTCTACCGGGAGGCAGCTGCTTTGGCAGTTTCCAGGTATGTCAGTCTGTGCTGTTCGCTTTAACTCGCTGACTACTGGGCCCTTTCTCCAGTCACAAGCGCTGCTGAAGACTGGCGTTTTTGGGAGTATTTCAAAACACCACAACTCTCAGAATTCAGAATTACCCTATTGTAATTATTTTTTTACACAGTAAAGTTACATTCAAGCTTAATCTAATGGATACGATAGTAAAACACGACGTGCGGATAGGGTTAACCTTTGGGGTCTATAAAGAATAAGAGGTGCTGGGACCCAAGAAAAAGATCAACTTTACTGAAGATCAACTCAATCGAGTTGAACACACGCAGATTCAACGGTATTTGTTTGATTAACCAGATGTGAGACTCAGAGTGCTTTCTTCTTGCAACAGGAAATAATACACAACTCTTTTTATTTCTATCAACAGATATGCAGCACCAAGGCCGAGGCTCGACGAAGTGCAGCAAAAATAGCGCTCATGAACTCAGTGTTCAATGAACATCCCTCGCGGAAGATCACAGATGAGTTCATGGAGAAAGCGGTAGCAGATGCCGTCTCGTCTTTTCAGGTGCGTGATCTGTTACTGTTACGGGGAATCTTGTTTTCACCTCATTCAGCTGTGTGAATTCTCGGACGTGATGAAAGGAGAAATCATCCGAGCACAGTCAAAATTGTCCCAAGATACATGATCCTTTCCCCGTGGTTTTATGCACCCCGCATAATTTAGCAAAATTTGATCATTTTCTGCATAATTTCTGATTATTTTCCTTTATCATTCTTTGTTAAAATTAACAGAATCACATAATTTTACATTTCTGGGCTAAGTTTGCATAATTTCCGAATTTTTCTTGCATAAAACGATGGGGACAGGTTTTCACCTCATTCAGCTGCAATGAAATCTCGGACGTGATGAAAGGAGAAATCATCCGACTGCTGTCAAAATTGTCCAAGACACATTATCGAGGAGAAGAGTGGCTTGTCTAAGACAGGTGGATATCTTGTCTTGGACAGTGTCATTATTTATACTTTGGATAAGATGAGATAAGATGATACTTTATTATCCCAGAGGGAAATTTTTGTTGGCAGTACAGAACCATCAAATGTTGGGGGGGTATGCGAAGGGGTCTTTTGCATCTATATGTGCTAGTGTTGGACAGGTTGCCAAGTGGGTCGGGTTCAACTGTACCATGTATTCACCAAACACTGAAATTTCAAGCAACCTGTGACTCATCGAAGTCTCTGGCAAAATACTACAAACAGCCCGAGCAGATGCTTCACGCAAATTTCTTCGGCCAAGAACATTATCCTGTCCCCATGGTTTTATGCTCCCTGCATAATTTAGCAAAATTTGATCATTTTTTTGCAAAATTTATTATTTTCCTTTATCATTCTTTGTTAAAATTAACAGAATCACATAATTTCAGAATTTTTTTAATGCATAAAACCGCGGGGACAGATTATCTTCTCTACTTCATGTAACCACTTATTATCTTGCAACAAAGCTCAATGTGAAACAGAGGAAATAAAGGTTAAGAAGACTTAGGGCACAGGGCTTCTGCCATGGCCAGCGAGACCAATCCTCAGAGAGAAGAGTTTGCCACTTTCTGACTGTCCCTGTGGTTTTATGCACCCCGAATAATCTAGCAAAATTTGATTATTTTTTGCATAATTTCTGATTATTTTCCTTCATCATTCTTTGTTAAAATTAACTGAATTGCATAATTTCACGTTTTTGGGCTCAGTTTGCATAATTTCAGAATTTTTCTTGCGTAAAACGACGGGGACAGATTCTGAGCATTTGATTTCCATCTTCTCCATTTTATGGTCATATTAATATATATATGTTCAGTTTCAGCTCTTTCCAACACTTGATCTTTTCTGACAAATTTGAGAGTAATGCATACAATAAAAACTGACATGTTTAAAAAAATCTGGCTATTCTGTTTAGGGCACCCCCTCGGACGCAGAAAATCCCAGCACGGGAATCGGAGCCTTCAAGTTTATGCTGGAGGCCAACAAGGGGAGGTCAATGCTGGAGTTCCAGGAACTGATGACGGTCTTTCAGCTCCTCCACTGGAACGGCAGTCTCAAGGCCATGCGGGAGCGCAACTGCTCGCGGCAGGAAGTGCTGGCCCACTACTCCCACCGCGCCCTCGACGACGACATGCGCTCGCAGATGGCCCTCGACTGGATCGCCAGAGAGCAGGAGTCGCCAGATATCATCACCACAGAGCTGGAGATGGCGGAACGAGACCTGGAAGCAGCGCGTCTGGCAGGGAGGGAGCTCCGCTTCTTCAAGGAAAAACGGGACATTCTTGTGCTGGCCCTGAGTCAGATCAACCCCAACGGAGAGACCATCACCTGAGTTTTGGGGAGAGAGGAACTAACAAACACTTTTGTTTCTTCTTTTGGCTGAATCTTGGAGGTTTCGAACAACGTCTTGTGCAGCTGGCTGAATGTGTGAGGACTGACTAAAATTTTAATTTTGTGCGAATCTGTCGAGAATGAAACATCTTTTACCCGAATCTATTATGGGGACTGAAATGTCTTTTTCCTGAATTTTTGGGGACTGAAACGTCTTTTTCCCTCTACCTGAATCAGTGGAATGTTGTTGTTTTTTTTACCAGAATCAGTTAAGTGTCTTTTACTGAATCTATTACCTGGGTACCTGAATTTTGAAGGACTGAAACCTCTTTTTCCTTCTACCTGAATCAGTGGAATGGTGGGGGGGGGGGTTTAACCAGAATCAGTGAAAATGTCTTTAACTGAATCTATTATCTGAATTTTTGGGGACTGAAATGTTTTTTGCCTGACTCTGCGAGAACTGAAACGTCTTGTGCACTGTTGGTTGTGTCTTTGCAGGCTCAAATCAAAGGTGCTGGTAGCCTGTGCCAATTAAATCTGGATTTCTGAAATTATTCGTAATGTGCTTGACTTCTTGATACGACATGTTAAACAGCACAATCCATAAATGTATAGTCCCCGCACGCAATTTCCACAAGTTCTAAAAAGTTCAGGACTTTTTTTTTTCATAGCCAGTTGGCATCCATCAAACGTCATTTGCAGCTGGCCGATTCTTTTGGGTATCAAATGACATCTTGTACAAAGTTGTACTGGTGGCTGGATCTCTTTGGGAACTCAAAACTTCTAAAACTGTTGCCTCTTTAGACTCGGGCACAACTGCTGTTTTTTAGCTTGATACAAAAGACTTCCTTAGGCAAGCTTTCATTGAATATATAGTTATAAGAATTATTTTCCCATAAATCAATCATCATCAATCCATTGTAATAATTTAAAAAGTGAACTGCTTGCAATTCTATTATTTATAATTTGCTCTTTGTACATAATTTTACATGTGATACTAACCTCTAGGCTAGACGACGGCTTGTCATAAACTGCTTTGACTTTTTCCTCGTTCACATCATTCATAATTGTTGTTTTGTTGTACGTTCCAATATTTGGCTGTTTCTTACGGTTGTTGGTTGTAACTTGTAAGGCCTAGAAACTTTTTTTTTTGTCGATTATTGTTGGGTCAAGTCTTGTCACCCAATGCCTGTGAAATGGCAGGTTTTTAAAAACTCAGTCGTTACAGGAAAGTTCCAATCCAAGTGGGGCCCGTATTTTTTCTCAAGTGTTAATGAAATGTTTCCTGTGAAAAACAAAGGGAGACCAAGACGTCCCTGGATTGACTCTACGAAGGTCTCCCTCAAGGCCCACGATGTGGCTCTCCCCCCCAAGCCACTCAACTTGGGATTGGTCAGCGTGACCGGTGGGTCGAGGCACCAGCGGTCGGCCGGTGGTCAGCGGGCGGTGGATGGGTCAGAACAGTAGGGGCCACATTATAACTGTGTGGGAATACAGGGTCGTTACTGTTTGGTGTACCCTTTCAAGGTGGCGAAACAAAACAGCTCGCAGATTTGTGCGAACATCTTCTGGAAGTTTTTGATGAAACATCGCAGTGCCTTTTACGTGTTTGGTTGTGTCTGATGTTTTCAGATAAATATCTTTTCTATCTATCTATATTAATATTTATATCCCGTTTTCTACTATCAATCTATCTTTATATATATTTATATATCCTTTTATCTATCTATCTATCTATTTTTATATATCCAGGTCGGCAGAATGTTTGTATGGTACTAGTTTTAACTTGGTGCAAACATCAGTCTCCATTTCACCGTTCCCGTCATCTTTTTGCTGTCACTCACTGTTGTCGTCTTTATCGAGAGAGAGGAACATCCTGCCTGGGTTTTCCATCACCTTTATATCCAGAGTGAATTTGTCTTTGTTTATCATTGTCCTGCCTGCACAATTGGTCGCTTTTATGGACAAGCGGGCTAACCCAGATTTCGGGGGTTTCCAGAAATCTTGCCCTTCTCCAAAAGTGGGCATTGCTCTACCTATAGAAGAAGTTTGGTGCCTTTGGTGTGTATATTTGTTTGGTTATAGTTATAGAGAAAACTTTCCTTGTCTTTTAATTTTAAAGAAATTGAACAAGGGGAAAAAACTTTACCTTCAATTTTCTCGAAAAAGCTTTTTTCGGGATAGCCCCCTTGTGCCTAAAAAGCGACCAATTATGATCTACAAACATATGTTTGTTTTTTTCTCTATTTTTCTTTATTGTGTGTCTTTGACATTTGATAGACTATAGTGTAGGCTATGTAAAATTAGTCAGTTGTTTAAAAAATGTGTGAATTTTGGCAGCAAACAATAGACTCAAACACATCATGTGCTTAAGACTGGCCTTTACTTTGAGGATTGTTACAATTAGGAGACCGTCTAATGGCCAGCACACATACCATGACACCAGCGCAAACGTGCACTTTCACATCAATGTAAACTCTCTCAGTTCTCTGCTTTAAAACACTTACTTACATTTGATAGACTATAGATATAGTGTATGTAGAATTAGTTTTTTAAAATGTGTGAATTTTGGCAGCAAAAAGTAGACACAAACACATGTGCTAAAGAATAAGACTGGCCTTTACTTCGAGGGTTGTTAGAATGAAGAGGCAGTCTTCTAATGGCCAACACATAACATGACACCACCGCAAACGTGCACTTTCACATCAATGTAAACTCTCTCAATTCTCTGCTTTAAAACACTTACTATTAATTATTATTGTTCTATATATATAATTTTAATAAACTCTCTGCTTTAATTAAATTCAAATCCTAACATCGCTATATATGACATCATGGTAAAAATTCTCCACAACACCATTGCAAATTTTATTCACTCTTGTCTGTGCAACACCATCATTTGTTTGACAAGATTTTCTCTATCCGAACAAATTGTTGGCCTTTTAAATTGTATGCATCTTGTTTTTCTATCCAATGTCTATGTTATGAACCTGTTTCAGATTGACAGGAACTATTTTCTTATCACATTTTTACATTACATTGGTATGATGTAGTATGCACGATTGATGAACTGTTAATTCCTGAATCACATGAATTGTATGAATGTATGTTTGTATGGAAACATATATCGTTGGCTTGGTGTTCAACTGTTCTAAGCCCAGACCGTAAATTTTTAAGGAGAGAAAAATTTTTTAAACTCTTTATCTCCGGGGGGGGGGGGGGGGGGGGGCCTAAACTCACTACACCGGGACCCTATTTTGGTACTAAATCTAAAAATGACAAAAACGTCACTAAATGGGTCATTAAATCAAAACAAGTGAACCTATTTGGGTAGTTCTTCATCTAATGAATGAACACCTGATAAAAGAGACATGTTGTCAGCAATTGCCAAAAAGTAATTTGATGTCAACATTGTCGTAAAGGAATATGCCCCAGCCACTGTCAGCAGCTCGCGGCACGTGGGTTCCAACTGCGAGCCGCTGGGAGCAACTTGCGGGAGATAAAGAGTTAAAAAATTGTACCTACATTATAATGTACAATATAACTATATCAGGGATTGGTCGAATACAGAAGGCTTGAAATCGTGCATCCATCGAATTGTGAATGCGGTCCCAGGTTTTTGTTTTCTTTATTTTTGTAAGATTAAGATATCCCTTGAACTACCGAGGTCGGTCCCGATGAATTCGAGCCATCCATGTTATAGGCTACTGTATATATCTGAATCTTTTTACTTTAAAAAATTATTTATATTATTTTTTTCCCACCATTTAAAATTTGAATTGCAATAAAATATCTCTTGAGCTTATGCCACAGACATCACAAATTAAGAAACAGCAATTTTTTTTTAATGTTTAATTTTGGACTTGGACTCAGTACATTTGAACAGCTGGCCAACTATATATGTATATATGGAAGATGTGTGAACTCAGTGATAGACGGGACAGAGCTCTTATTCTTATTATATTATTCTAGAGACGTTTGGGGTTTTTTTCTACCTGTGTTTTGTTTGTTTGTTTGGTGATACAGTCAGGCATGGATAACTCAAATAGCTCTACTTTGGGGATTGTGACAAATGTGTTTGAGTTTGACACCTCCGTAATTCGAGTAAACCGATAAAATAAAATTTTTAATAGATATAATATCTATTATCTATTTGTGGTGGCCGAATGTTGCTATTCAAAAGGTTTTTTAATGGCTGCATCGATCGACATGCGGTTTTCGCCAAAAAATTCTTTAAAATATTCTCCAGAGCATGGCGCCCTTGGTTTTTTAAGTTTTGCTGCAAAAAGCTGAATTTCTTTATTTCGCCGATCACTTTTGTAGGCCGACGCTTCCGTCTCTGTAATTTTAGAAAATCCGGAAGTGATATTTCGCGAGGCGCATTTTGTTTTGAGAGTATAAATCTAGACCTTCTAATTTTTTGCACATCTCAAGATTTATTGCCCCATTCCAGTAGAGTGTAAATATAGTAGGCCAATGACTTTTTAGTTGATATTAAAGCACCGATCATTCCTTTCATCGAAAGGGGGCCCAGCTAGTGATATATATATCAGTCGGGGAATGGCGAATTGTATGAGCTATCCATGATTTTGAGTTTTACGTGTTTGTGTTGTCTGTGTTTGACTATATGTGAAGCATGCTGGCAAAATGAGTTACTTCTCAGAATCAGATTCCAGCCCTATGGAAATAAGTAGGCTACACCATGCTTATAGATGAAGTTTTAACGATTCATAAGTGTGAAATAATAAAAAGCATGTTATACTTTTTTTTAAAAGAATATAGCATCAATAGAAAATCTATTAATTTGACCCTAGTGTCAATGTTTGGCCAATATCTCCATTTGTGGCATGCGAGAAGTGACTCATTTTGTCAGCAAGTCTCACGTATGTTTGTATATATATAGTAATTTTCATACATTCGTCTCTTCGCTGCTATGCACACTCTGTGTGAGGTGGAGTTCTAATTGCAAATTTTGCAGTGGAAAATTTTTAGGAAGTAAAAAAAAAAAAAAAAAGATAAAACTTCTAATGTTGATTAAAAAGCGTTACTTTTAATATCTGCTTGGCGGGCATAGATGGAGTTTGAAGTACCTGTTTGGAGGGGGATTAGGCCCGTAGGTACAGAGTATTATACTGTATGGGTACAGGTGAATGTTTGATTGAATAATAAGAGCAGACAATTTCCTGATTGGGGGGGGGGGGGGGGGCAGATGAAATTTGGAAAACGGGAGCAAAGTAATTTTGAATGTAATATGGGGACAGAGATGGGGTTTTGTTAAATGTAGGATCCTGAGGAGTTTTAAATTAGGTGGTTTTTTAAAATATTTTGTTTACTTGTACAAAAATGTGATACCGTAAGGAAGTGGATCCTGTGTTCTTTGTTTGAACTGTCAAAATGTTTCACCTTGGAGAACTATTTTGAAGAGAAATGTCACTACGACTACGAGCAACGCGGTTGTGTAACATTTTGTGCATCTCATTTGTACACGTTATGTCATTTGTTTAATAAAATGAATGGACAGAAAAAAACATAATTTTTGGGGGTTTTTTGTTTTTGTTTTATGTAGGGATATGCGCGTCGGCCGCGTACACTATAGCTGTCTCCGCGGTTTTATGAAAAAAAAAATTCTGGAATTGTGCAAACTGAGCCCAATAATGTGAAATTATGCAATTCAGTTAATTTCAACAAAGAATGACAAAGGAAAAGAATCAGAAATTATGCAAAAAATGATCAAAATTTGCTAAATTATGCGGGGTGCGTAAAACCCGGGGACGGCTATAGTGTCTCTAGGACTGGAAAATTTCCACTCGTGCAGTACAGCTGCGAAGTGTAACGTCACTTGGCAGTGAAGAGAGAGAGAGAGAAATGGGTGACAATTGCCCCGTTTGCTGCATACTCGCAGCTGTGCAATCAATGAATGAAAGGGTACGTGTATTGTTCTTGCAGTTGCAGTGTGGGGCCTTGGACTTTGAGAGAGGAAGAGGGGTACACGTTTCTCTCTCAGCTAGAGAACTTGATACTTTTATTACATTTTCAAGCTTTTACTTTTATGTTTTTAAAAGAGTTTTTAAGCTGATGTGTCTCTTTTTGAGAAGCATCAAGTCCTTTCTGGTTTCAACTGGACAGAGCTTGGTTCAAAAAGTCTTTTGTTTCTTTTTTGGCCTGATTGCCTCCGACTCTGCCTGTTAGTGTTAGGGCCAACCTGGGATGATAGGGGTACAACAACGTCCAAGCAGAAAAAGCCAAGATATGGTACTCGAACTCTAATAAGAATTTACGCGAGGAGACCCAAGGGCTTTCTGCCTCTGTGAGCAACAGCGAGCTGACAAAAAGAGTTACTTCTCGGATTCAGGCCTTAAGGAAATAGATACATCACACTTATAGGTGAAGTTTTTACAATTTATAGGTATGAAATATAAGGAGTGTTATACTTAAAAAATATGGCATCTATAAAAAATTTACAAATTTGACCCTATAGTGTCAATTTTTGGTTAATATCTCCATTTGTGACTGCGAGAAGTAACTCATTTTGTCAGCACGCCTCACATATTATATCTAACTGAGTAATCATTACACCACAGACCTTGGTTTTCAACAGTGTAGAAAGAGAAAGGTTTTTCCACGTTCATCATCGATACGATCCAAGCTGAGTTGGAGGAGAGTATAAAAAATTCTCAAAACAATCCAAGTCATTACAAAAAAAACTCTTTGAGGATTCGAACCACAATTCTCCACATGATCGTAGAGCAGCATGATACACCATGAACGTATCAACTGAGCCAACAGTGTGCTCCTTTGTTCTGTTTATATCATGAGTTGAAGTTGAAATGGTTATTGTATAGGCCAGTATAGGTATATGTTCACCAACACGGAGGAGAGGTTATTAAAAGAGTGTTTTAATAATACTTCGGACCTCCAAACTTAAAAGTCCATCCCCGATAAGACCCAGCTGTATGGGTAGCAAGAGCCTTAAAAATTCCCCTAAACAACCCAAATTCAGAACTATTGTTGGGATTTCAATGATTTGAACCCCAGCTATACACTCCATAGTCCCATCATGATACGACCAAGCTATTAGTATTAGTGTACCCAGGCTGGAAGTAGTGGAAGGTCCACCAAGGAATTTCCCTGAAGTAGAGATGAAATGTATTTTTTAATGTACAGTGCACAACTGAAAGTCAAGTTCCTGTTATAATCTGCTGATCCAAAGAAAAACAATAACATTTTACTTAACAAAAGATCTGAACTATTTCAGAGTAGAACAGAAAGAGAAAGATGACTTTTTAAAATAAAAAATAATATGAACAAGGCGGTTTATTTTGAAATTTTTATTTTTGAAAAAACAACTCCACATAATAATGACATTCAATTCAACATTTTTCAGTGAACACAAGTACGGTAACTATTAAAGAAACACCAACAGAGGTAATGCATAGGAGTGAGATTTGCCCCACCCCAATCCCAAAATCAATCTGCACAAAAGTCAGCAAAGTAGGTTGGGAGTAATGTTGAGACATCAAAATACATATAATATACATATAGAGATGTACATCATATTCTAAACTTACAGTCATTGTGAGAAAGCGTAAAAGGTATCCATCAAATGGAAAAGAACTGTTGCTAAAGTGAGATGACGAAGGGCTGGGCAAGAGTACACAAGCACCAGATCAGGGAAAGACGCTCCGAGTTAACTGTCCCCGGGTTTTATGCACCCCGCATAACTTAGCAAAATATTTCTGATTATTGTCTTCTCTTTGTTAAAATAAACAGAATTTCCATCATTCCACATTTTTGGGCTCAGTTTGCATAATTTCAGAATATTTTCTGCATAAAACCGAGAGGACAGTCAGTAGGACCGTAAAAACTTAAAGTGTAAACTACAAGTGCTGTGAGAAAATATGAGAAAAACAAAGGCAGAACATATGCCACATTTTGGTTGTTGGATGGTGATGGAAAGTCACACTTACAGTGAATTTACTGAACGAGCTTAAAAAAGCGAGGTGTTGAGGTCAAACAAACACAAAACCAAAGACATATTCGCACAACTACTTCATTAGATCAGGAAGCTCAGCTGTCAAAGAAAGGGTATGCAAAACTTTCTCCTTAACCAACTAGCCTACATATCTCCAAAAAAAGAATCTTCCATTTTTATTGTAATTTGAGATGGGTTGACACTGGCCTGCCGTTGCCTTCAAAAAGTGGCATATTTATATCCAGAGTGTCTTGTATTAGATTCTACATACAAAACAAATCCCTTTAATGTGTATTGATAGTGAAGGACCTGGCCACCCCGTTATGCATGCATTTGTGCGCTATGAGGACACTTGTGTACTGTAAAGAAATACTTTTGCTTTTTCAAGAATCAATATGATTTGTTAGGAACATCAACTTTTTTCATTGACAAAGATTTTGCTGGAGATTTCTGCTCTTAACAACATGTTTCCTACAGCCTCTGTTTGTCTATGTCTTTTTCATGTAAAATGCAAGGTAAAGCGTAGTCTTCAAGGGAAGAATCTACCCTATCATCTTGTTTCATGCATTTTAGATCTTTTCTTGAAGCAGCAATCAGCTTTCACCGAGGAGGAATTCATGTCTCACAAATCTGAAATTTGTCCCATTGCTCCTGATAGTCAGTGAGTTAAATGGGTCTAGTCCTGCTGGCAAAAGGTTTGAAAGTTTGAAATCCTTATAAAAGAAGTCTGACATCCTATCCAAGGTGACAGGTCTGACCATAAAGAAGAAGATCTGACCCAAACACCTGCAGGAAATGGTACGAGAAATCTCATCACGAAGATAGCTCTATCATATTCACTACGAGAAATCTCATCACGAAGACAGCTCTATCATATTCACTACGAGAAATCTCATCACGAAGACAGCTCTATCATATTCACTACGAGAAATCTCATCACGAAGACAGCTCTATCATATTCACTACGAGAAATCTCATCAGGAAGACAGCTCTATCATATTCACTGTATTGCACAAGACTGAGATCCTATGGAACACAGAGAAAAAAAGGGTGTGTATGTGTAGTGTGGTGCCACTAGATTTTAACTATCCACTTTTTAAAAAAATTTCAATATATATATAATAATAATAGATAGCATTTGTATAGCACATATCCCCGCTCAACAGCAGGCTCTATGCGCTTTACACTATATTATTACCCCAGCAGACCATAGAGCAATCCAAAACATTCTCTGCTTCCCGGGAAGCATACAGTGCGAGCAGCCGATTAAGCGCTCAAACACTAACAAACTGACAAGATCTTTCGCTGTCAAAAGCCGGGTACCCATTCCCACCTGGGTGAAGTGAGGAAAATAAGTGTAAAGTGCCTTTCCCAAGGACACGTCGGGCCCCTGACGGGATTCGAACCCACGACCTTACGGTTGCGAGTCCGAGAGCCTAACCACTAGGCCACCGACGCCACTAAATATATATATATATTGAAGTGGTGTCTTTAGGCCGACTGCTGTATTCATAAACACAATTTAGATCATTTACGATACCAGGCGGGCCTCCACCGTGCCTGTCAGGACCAACCCAGGCTGAGAGGGATACAACATCCCAGCCCAGCAGAAAGACCGGAGATTTTTATGTATATGAATATACCATAAAAATTCTCCCTACTTGGGAATCAGAATGAGATGGGTCTCCAGCATGCAACAGTGAAGTGCCAAACTCAAACCGTTACATCACAAACCCTAAGGATTTTTAGTATCAGTTTTTGGTTTGTAACATTTTTATGATACAGTATATCTCATATTCCCTACTAATTATATGAGTAGGATGGACCGGCGCACTGGTCCACCCCTATCCCTTAAATCTTTAAGCCGAGAGTTTTTCCCACCGTTTCCTGGAGGTTTTTTCTACAGTCACCTAAACCTAGAGCGCTATGTCATTATAACCCCAAAAGCTGGCCTCCTACTTTCTAAATAGCAGAAACTAAGGCTTAGTCATTACCATAAAAAAAACTTGGCTCAGGAACAGTTCCAAAAAAACAAGCAAAAGCCAGCACTAAATAAAACAAAACAGTTGTCACTAGTACTGGACGCTCCAATCGTCCCATAGGGTTCAAAGAGTTAAATCTCTCACATGCTGGCTTCAAGCGCCCCACCCCGGGACCTCGCCTCAGCAGACGTGCAAAACCATGTAAGGGGGTGGTGGTAACGTAGACTTCCCAGACAAATGACAACGGCTGGCCACATGCACGACGAGGTCAAGGCAAGCCCCCGGGTGTTGGAGGAAGTCGGCTGTGGTCCAGCATGGAGAGGGACGGAGGCCGCCAGGCTTCACTAGCCCAAGACTCGCTGTATGATGACAGACCTCTATTAAAGAGGCTCTCTATTCTATCACACAGGGCCCCTGTGATCCTCGTGGATTATGGTACCAGTTAGCAGATATCTTATATCATATCATTTCTAAAGACACAGTTCTATGTGGCAGTGTCACGAACCCCAATCTGGGAAGTCACAGTTCAGGATCGCATCACGGTCCGGGGGCAGCACGGACGGTGGGAGACTGGCAAAGCCCAGCAGGCTGTCAGACAACTGGTACTCTGGAACGAATACGGAAGGTTTTTCCACCGATGAGTCAGTTTTCACTTGGTCAGTTCTTCTTTTGCACCATGTTGCCAGGGAAGTCTTCAGATCCTGAGAAGCTGTCTTGTTCGCTGGGGAAGCTTTCTGCTGCTCCTTCTGCCTGACGTTCTCTGCAAGCCGAGCTCTATCCTCATTGGTCAGGTGAGAATATTGACAGCGGTCTCCGAAGCGACAGTCTCCTACAACAATAACAAAAGAAACAATAAAAAGTGTGTAAGTAACAGAATGAGATCATTTGTGAGAAATAAATCTAGATATCTAGTCCAAACAAAACTTGGCCAAAATTTGAAAAAGCATACAAATCAAACATAGAGGTAGATTTTCCTTTTCAAGTTGATCTCAATGTCAATAAAAGACTTTGCTACAGTATAAAGTTACTCTGTATAACACAGATAGCTTGTCGACAGGGGAGATGGAAAGCTGCGGAGAAGCTACATGTTGTGCAACTATACGTGACGCCCGAGAACAGCCATCGATCTATTGACCGGTGCCAAGCCGAAGAATAGCCATTTGCATTTTATAATGTTGTCTTTGAAACAAACGGAATGTTCATTATCTCAGAAAATCTTTCTAGTCCAGCCAGCCCCATGCCACATACATTCTAATGAAAAGCAACAACTGCTTTGGTTGACGTCGAATGTTCAAAGATTGTGAGGAGTGACGCGTAGAGAGTAGAACTATTTTAAATCCTTCAGAAAAGACGTGGGAACACTGGGAACAGGAAATTGGTACGTGCACAAAAAATGTAAAAACATGATGATTCCGAAGGCTGTCAGATTTGAGTTGCAGGTTCCCCGTTAGACACTGGGTCAGGAATCGACAGCATCAACTCCTGCAAACATTTCATATTCATTAATAATTCATATCCATCAAAATAACAGATGAACTGTCCCCATCCACATCAATGTGAGTGTTTCCTGACAGATGCAGTCTTCTTCGGGGGATCACATTTTCCTGAAGCTGCTTGGCTTGATCTCTTGCCCAATTACAATACAGTTGCCCGATCGATACGATACAGAATACAGACACGTTGATGAAGTGCCTCCCTGTGCCAATGGCAATGATGCAATGGTGGGTGATTCAGGGTGCATTCACTGTACAGTGAACGTAGTCACTGCAAATGGAAAAACTAAATTTAGGTTGTGGATTAGGCTAAAAGTAGCCAAACAGCGAAGACGGAGAGTGAGATGGCTACACTATGACTCTATTCTATGATAATCCAAATCACTCAACGCTGATTTACAAGGTACAAAATACCTCACCCAAATAGATCTAGATTTAGATCTAGTACACTGTATATTAAGCCTTACCTGTAGACAGGAACATTTTGCATGGCCTTTTTCCTTGATCCTCCAAAAGGATTTCCTGTTCATCCCTCAAAGCATCATAGTGCGCCTTTTTATTCCTGAGGTGTGCTACACCGTTCAAGTGAGTCTTTCGACCAGTGGGATTATCAGCAAACGATTTGTCACAATAATCACAATAATAACGTCTGCCCATGTTTCTTAGTCTTAGCAGCAATAAATTGAAATTCTATCACAATTCACAATCAACGCCAACGCCGACGACACGATACACGTCTTTCAAATTATCAAATGTTGAAGTTGGAACCTCGAACTGACTCGCACCCTGCTCCTTGAAAATTAACAAACTTAATTTCCATGAAACCTGATACTGGTAACTTCATCTGTCACTGAGGTGAAAGACACCAAAAACAAGGAAAAATAAACAATGTAATACACAACTAGATCTTGTATAAGACGCAAGGCCCAAGGACTTAGAAGATTTAATCTTATCTTGATCTAGTAGGACAACATGGCTCCTGACTCAGGCTTGTGAAGTGAGTAGTGAGTAGGCTAGGCTAGTGAGTGAGCGTGCGTCGCTTGTGTACTTTCGCTTTCAAACCACGGGGGAAGAAGTGCCAAAACAAGAAGTTCCGGTTATGTCATTTGCGGCAGACACAAAAGTAGCATAGGAATATGTGTTAGATCTAATTATTTATTTTCGAGATTTTTTTCATTGATTCTTTTTGTCCCAGAATACAGGATGAAACAAGAATTAAAATTTGCTCATAATCGGCCTTCCGTTTGTCGATTGTAGATAAATAGACTAACAGTAACACTTCTCCTATCGCCATGGATTGCCGTTTTCAATTACTTCGGAATTCTCCACAATTATACCGTTCAACTGTGCATCAAGATCTTTGACTATTTGCAAAAACAACAACAACAACAACATAAAAATATTGTATTTCATTTTCACTCTTGTCCCATTCGGGTTTGAACTCATGACACAGACTTTGATCTCTTTGTCATGTTTTTCTAGGCCTACTCTATGAGTATACAGTATAAGGTATCGAAAAACCGTCCTCTCACAGCAACTTATTAAAATCACTAAAAATTCATAATCTCTCGTTATTTAAATCCCTGAAGGAGAAATAAAACAGATTTGTTCCTACTAGAACAGGGGTACATGGTTGAATGTGTCACACC